CCCCTGGCGGGCATGGCCAGCCAGGCTGGCGGTGGCCCCATGCGCCTGGCGCTCGTGGCTGGCCACACGCCCAAACTGCGCGAAGTGAATATTCGGTGGCTCCAAGATGGGGCCCTGAAGGATGGGGTCCTCAGGAGAGGAAGGGATCCAAGGGTGAATGTGCACTGTTTGAGGCACCTCGTCTTTGCGACCCCCCCAATAGATCCCATGTCGTGATTTTTTCCATATGGGGTCCCCGGAAGTCTCGACCCCTTCCCGAGGACCCGTTCTTCATCCTGAGTCGTTTTTCCCAACCATCCTGTGGTGTTGGGTCCTCGTTTTGAAGAGACGGTGCCCCAAGTTCTTCTCTTTCCTCCCTCCTCCTCCTCCTCCTCCTCCTCCTCCTCCTCCTCCCTCCTCCTCCTCCTCCTCCTCCTCCTCCTCCTCCTCCTCCTCCTCTCCCTCCTCCTCCTCCTCCTCCTCCTCCTCCTCCTCCTCCTCCTCCTCCTCCTCCTCCTCCTCCTCCCTCCTGCTTCCCATCCTTGCCTCTGCTCTCCGCATGCCCATCCCATTTCAGCGAACCCCTGACAGGGTTCGTGGCCTCACAGGGAGCTCCACCGAAGGCTCCAGTGGCAGCGTCCGTATGCAGTTCCACCCTCATTTCGGCGCACCCCTCACAGGATTCGTGGCCCCACAGGGAGCTCCACCGAAGGCCCCAGTGGCAGCGTTCGCATGCAGTTCCACCCTCATTTCGGCGCACCCCTCACAGGGTTCGTGGCCCCATAGGGAGCTCCACCGAAGGCTCCAGTGGCAGCGTTCGCATGCAGTTCCACCCTCATTTCGGCGCACCCCTCACAGGGTTCGTGGCCCCATAGGGAGCTCCACCGAAGGCTCCAGTGGCAGCGTTCGCATGCAGTTCCACCCTCATTTCGGCGAACCCCTCATGCACAGGGTTCGTGGCCCCGGGAGCTCCACCGAAGGCCCCAGTGGCAGCGTTCGCATGCAGTTGCACCCTCATTTCGGCGCACCCCTCACAAGGTTCGTGGCCGCATAGGGAGCTCCACCCACCGAAGACGGTGTACCCACAAGTACGGCACTCACAACTGCATATGGTTGGGTCCGTCGCCAGGCTGAGTTGACGGTCCTGGGGCCCGGCGAGGGCCCCTGGATGTCGAAAAGGGCGAAAAACCGCCGCCTTGATTGTTGTCAATGCGTTGGATCTCTGGGCCATCCCCCAGGTCCCCCTCCTTGAGCCACCGACGAAATCTTCTTCTTCTCCCTGTAAGGGCCTCGGTGCCCACGATCGGCGGGAGGCTGCGGTCCGGGGTGCGGCCGGGCTGCCGGCCGGCCGCGGCACGGCGCTGCTGCTCCGGGGACAGGGTCCACATGAGGACGCGGTACTCCAGCTCCTTCTCGGGGGGGGGGGCCAGGATCGGCGGTGGACACAGGGAGCCCACAAAGGACGCACGCACCCAGCCATGTACACGAAGACGGCCCCTCGATCCGCCAGACCGGCCGCATCATGCGAACATTTGCGCAATGTAAACCAGCGTGGGTTCATGTACGTGTACGTCTTTCTGTCGCTCCTGAGGACAAACCTCCCTATCTAGAAAAAGAAAAAACGGCGCAAAAATATAAACTTTTGGCGCTCCGCGCGGATCTCTTGGCTCCGCGCTGGACCCCCCCCCTCCCTGGCGCGCAGAGCGCGCCAGGGGCGGCGCCGGAGGCGCCGCCAGGGGGCCCCAGCGCGGTCCACATGAGGACGCGGTACTCCAACTCCTTCTCGGGAGGGGGCCAGAAGACCGGAGGGTTCCAAAGGGGGTTTTTGGGGAGGGGGTTTTCCAAGAGGGGTTCCCCAGGGGCTTCGCACACTCTGTTTTGACGAGGTTCTGAAGCCACTGGGGGGCACTCTGGAAAACCCCCTCCCCAAAAACCCAATTTGGAACCCTCCGGAGAAGAGCCTTCTGCAGCATCTTCGGGAGGTGGCCAAAATCGGCGGTGGACAAACCTACCGTTCGTAAACCTCCCTTGAGTGAAAGCGGCCTAGGACCGAAACCGACGGACCTGGACCCGCAAACATGACGGCCGCGACGCCCTCTCTCGAACCGACGACGGCCAATTCGCGAATCGACGTGCCAGGGTAGGAGGTCTATCAACCCCCGACAGAGGAGCCTTCTGTGGCATCTTCGGGGGGCCTCGCCTGCCCCGTCGCGCCCCTATATACCCGCGCGAAGCCGTGCCGAGAGTCCGTGCCGGATCCGTCGGCTCCGCGTCGCAGCCACGCCAGATCCGCGCCGAGGCCGCACCGGGTCCGCGTCGGGCACCAGACAAGACACAACTACCAGACAAGACGCAACGCTTCGGGGGACGTGCGCCGCCAGAACATGACCGGATCCACGGCCGCTGAGCCGTGCTCCGAGGACTCGGGGAGCGGTATGGATACGTATCTGCCCACCGGCGCGGGCGGGCAGATGTTGAGGTGTTGGCTTGCAAGGACTTGCGAGACGGCGGCGGGACTTCTCACAAGCCCTTGCGCCGTCTGAGAGGTTCTCGATCTCTTCGCTTTCAACAAAAAGCAGCTTGTCGGAGGGCCGGCGGACTTCCGAGCCTTCTGGGAAGGCCTTCTCCTTCTCACTCCCCCCCCCGCGCTCGCCGCCGATGTGAGCAGAAGGGGCGGGCCTGCACGGGCAGGGGGGCTGTGCCCTGGTCGCTCGGCCCCGGGCCCAGGCCCCCTCGCGTTGTGAACAAGATCGCGACGGAGGTGTCTGGCCATCTTCGACCTCCCGGGGCCCTCGGCGGGCCCCGGGAGCGTCCACAGGAGGATTCGGGAGGAACAGCCGGCCCCGGGGAAGGGGGCCAGACCTCTCGGTGGGTCGACGCCGCGAAAGAGAAGAGCACGACGCCGGGGGAGGGGCCTATATGGGGGGGGTGTCTTCGCTGCGCGAGGACACCTGGGCGTGGCTGCCCCGGGACGCAGCGCGCAGCACGCAGCCTGTGCACCTTCATCCCCCTCCTCCTCCTCCTCCTCCTCCTCCTCCTCCTCCTCCTCGTACTCGTCGTCGTCGTCTTCAGGGTCGGCGGCGCCGGCCGTAAGGCCGTAGCAATAAAAGCGCGACGTCGGGGGAGGGGTCTGGGGGGTGTTTTCGCTGCGCGAGGACACCTGGGCTTGGCTGCCCCGGGGCGCCGCGCGCAGACTGCAAACGCAGGTCCGGCGCGGCTCGTGAAAACGCGGGCCAACACGCACCAGGCCAACACGCACCGCGTTGGCGCGGACCTTTCTGAACACGGTCCGTGTTGCGTTACAAGACGGGCGCATCGAGTCAGCAGGGCTGCGCGAAGACAGCCCTGTGGGGGTAAGCGGAGATTCAGACAACCTCTCAAAGGGCGCGAGGGCTTCTGTGGCCGGTTTGCGCAGGGTCTTATCTGCGCGAAGACACCTGGGCTTAGCTGCCCCGATGCGTAACACGCAACACGCAGCGTGTTGACACGCACGTCTTAAACACGGTACGTGTTGCGTTTTCAAAGAGCGTGCCGAAGCAGCTGAGGAGATGGGGGGATGTGCCCCGATCGGTTGGCGCAGAATTCGACGCAGATGTGCGGAGCATTCGACGTGCTTGTCGTGGACCCGGCGAGAGAATCACCTTTGGGGTACATTCGGCCCGTACCATAAGGATGCGCGATAAGGATGCAAGGGCCTTGGAAGGCCATGCGGCCAGCGAAGGTGGCCAAGGATGGGTTGAGGAGGCAAGGATGCAAAGGTACCCTTGAACAGATTGCCCATCCTTACTGTGCGGATTGGCTGCGCATCCATTCCGTAGTCGATCCCCAACTCGTGCCCTTGTCGGTTGGTGCAGGGCCCTCTCTGCGCAGGGCGAAGCCGCCCCAGGGTGGAGGACCTGCCCAGGGGGGAGGTATGAGAGAGGGGCAGGCCTCGAGCGCCCCGAGGGGAGAGGAGAAAGAGGAGGAGGAGGAGGAGGAGGAGGAGGAGGAGGAGGAGGAGGAGGAGGAGGAGGACGATGGGGGAAGGGGAGAGGAGGAGGAGGAGGAAGAGGAGGAGGACGAGGACGAGGAGGAGGACGAGGTGGAGGAGGAGGAGGCGGAGGAGAGGAGGAGAGGAGGACGAGGAGGACGGGGAGGAGGAGGAGGAGGAGGAGGAGGTGGAGGTGGAGGAAGAGGAGGACGGGGAGGAGGAGGAGGGGGGAGGGAGTAGGAGGAGGAGGAGGAGGAGGGAGGAGGAGGAGGAGGAGGAGGAGGAGGAGGAGGAGGAGGAGGAGCGCCAGTACCTCAAGGAGGAAGAGGAGGAGGAAAAGGGGAAGAGGAGGCGAAGGAGGCGGAGGAGGGATGATGACGAGGAGGAGGAGGAGGGAGGAGGAGGAGGAGGAAGGAGGAGGAGGACGAGGACCCCGCAGTTGATCAGCGGCCAGTTCCAAAAACGTGGGAAGTGCCAGCCCTTCGAGCAAGGGAGACAAGGGGAAAAGGCGACCCCCCTTCTAGAACTTGCCCAAATAGGGATTGCCAATTGGGGTGGCCTTCTTACACCATGTGAGAAGATTATGCGCACTGCAAGAGGCATGGCTGCCACACGTCGAACAGATGGAATTACTTTGTCCGAGAGGACCATGCCATGAGATGGATCTACATACTTGGCCCCGACGTACACATTACTGACCTGGCTGGCACCTTCGCGCCCCGCTTTGGGTACAACGGCCTGCCACGGGAAATCCAATAACTCCTGGGACGGGATATTCCCGTGGGAGTTGACAGAAATAACAAAGCAACAAATAGCACACAACAGACGACAATCGGGACCCTCACCTACGGGGATCGTTGAGCGCGCACTGGCGCGCAGCTGCTTGGCTAGCTTCGGGCGAGGGTTGAAGGCGCGGGGAGGGGGAACAGGGGGGGGCGGGCGGCTGCTTGGCTCTGGATTTCTTCCTAACGCGAGACTGCCCCTCAGGAGCGCCTCCAGGGACCTTCGAAAACCTCGAGAGGAAAACCTCGGAAGCACGAGATCGGATAGCTCGAGTTAGGGCCTCAGAAATCAGAACAACTTCAACGTCCCCCGACTGCAACTGTATACGTTTGGCCGTCTGCTCGGCCACCTGGTTGGCTACCTTGTCGCCAACCCACGTAACTACAAATTATTTACTCTCGGCTGCCAGATCTGGTGTCATGTGCGACTCGATATTGAAAATGACTGTCGGCTTCGAGCGAAGCAACACCTGAATTCTGCGCCATTCATCACGATGGCCGTCGGGAAATAAATCCAGAACAACTTCGGCAGCACCAGTCTGAACGTAGGACGAGTCCGCGACATGAACAAGCTGATGGCCCATGGGGGCATCTTCCAAGAACCTCAAGAAAGCAATCATCTCTCCGCGGATGATGGCTTGCCCCCCCCCCAAAAAAGTGGCTCCCGCAGAGACCCTCGAAGTCGTGAGCTCGGCATCGGAATTGTCGACGTCGAAACTCTGGAACGCAATATTCGCCCAAGATACCCTTCCAAAGCTCGCCCGATCAGAACACTGTCCTTCAGGAGCGTTCCCTGCGCCGACGATGATGTCTGCGTCGGCTGGAAACTGGCCGCGAATGCGCGCGGAAATGTCGGGCTCGCCGGACGGCAGACACACTTTCGTCGGACTGCGTGAGACCGCGCAACCATACCGACGGTCGAGACTCCGCCTGTGCACGTGCTCTGCGCGCGCACCCCTCGCTGCCGGCGACCGAGGAGAGGCTGGAAATCGCAGAACATTCCCAACTGCGGTGGTGCAAGGTCCCAGGCTGACGGCTGTCGAATCGATCGCATACGAGTGAAAAATCTGGCGGATCAGCGACATCCCGAACTCTCGCTTTGGCCATCGACCTCCGCAGCACATTGACCAGAGCGCCTGCCCAGGTATGTCTGTCACGCTGTCTAGAACGTCGTAGCTGCTGTCGTGCGTCCGTCGGATCGATCCCGCTTTCGCAATGTTTAGCGGCCCGTATCCATATTTCGGCTAAGTCATGTCGCGCGCCATCTAGATAGAGGGAGCCCGCTTGGGGGATCCCTGGAGAAGCCTGATGCACATCGCCCCGATCAGACACCCAATGCCATGGCCCGACGGGGCCCCGCCTGATGTTCAACAAGGTGTTCACGACGGCCCTTGCGGGCCCAGTAACCTTCCGCCAACGGTGCTCGGGGCCCCCCCTGGCCCGTGAAACGCGCGCGCGCGCCGCCGTCTCGTGCTGCGAGCTTGCGTGCTTCATCTCCAAAGGATAGAATGGCCATCCAGCTGTCAGGCATAATGGAAACCCGCGAGATGGCCGGGTCTTTGACGCCCGGCTCAAGCTGCAACAGGGTCTCGAGGCAACGTCTACGAATGGAGCTGGCAAGCGTAGCTCCAATAGTTCGCTGTCATACCTGCGCCGC